GCAGCTGAAAATTCAGCTTTACATTACAAGAATAATTACATGTTTAAATAAAAACTTATTTTTAAGTGCAATAATATTTCACAATATTACTGTTTTTACTGTACTTCTGATCAAACGCCCTGGTAAGCATAAAAGACTTTACAAAAACACATACATATATATATATATATATATATATACACACATACCAACCCCAAACTTTTGAATTGTAGAGTAGTTTTAGTGTATTTAGTTACCTTTAGTAACATTTTCAAACAGTGATCTGATCAAATATGAACCAGTTAAGAGGAAAGAGCATTCATCTTGGTTCTTGGGCCTTCAGGTTAAGCTATCATCTGGACATAATGGTTAGAGGTCAATGCAGAAAGTGCCATGTTTGCACCTTAAAACCTGCTGCTGAAATGGCCGCACACCTGACCGCTTCATTCACAGCTCAGCCTCTGACCTCTGCTTACCGTGTCTGAAAGCATAAAGAGTCACACCTGCCCCCATTTCAAGGCCATTCACCCACCCGCATGAGCTCACAAACACACACACACACACCATCCCTGTCATCAGTATCATTGTGTGAGTGAGCATGTATAGAATTAAGGTGAAAGCAGAAAAAAACACTCTCTGACTGCTCAGATGGACACACTCATTTAATAGCAATCTGTCAGGAATACTTTAACAGCCTCTGTAAAATATTCACTTGAAGAGTCCCACCTAAAACTGAGATTTAGCCCGGGAACCCTCAGACTAACATTAAATACAGCAGGCTGGTCTTAAAACTGTATATTTAAGTCCACACAGACACACTCATTTAACAGAATATCTACTTACAGTTGTCTGGTTTACTGACATGCTCAGTTGATGCAGGCAAAGTGCCTGCTATGGAAAAATTTGAATCCTCTTTTATAATTTCACACTTTGGATCCCGATAAAATGATTCCTCTCACTAATATGAACATTTATTTTCACAGAGGCATCATATGTACATTTTCTTCCCAACCACAACGCAAGAGCCCAGACATTACAAGTATGGGCCTTGAAACCAAAAGGAGCCATGTTGTAAATCAGCCAACATGTCAGGCCGCTAGTCTGAAACATATTCAGTGAGATAGTGAGCCACACTGTGACGTCTTTTTAGCCTATTAATTTGGAAAAGTTTATTAAGTGTGAGGGAACTTTCCGATTTCTGACTACTGTGTGCTACATTTGTTAAAAACTATTATTTACATAAGTACTGCTCTGGCTAATTGTCTAGCTCGCCTATGCCTAGAAACGGCCCTGTCGACCAGCATGGTCTTTCTGGTGATAATGGTTTTATGTAGTGGGTTATCTCACAGTTTTATGACAGTTAATCCACCAGAAGAGAAAACCAGCACATTAGCATCTCATGCTAAATGATAATGACCAGCATTGCTGCAGTAGAGTATTTACAGCGAATGACATAAGAGTCAATGCTTTTTAAGCAAAGTATTGCCTACATATTTGCACTTTTAATCTTGAACAATAATAATGTTGATGTGATAAAAATGATGTGCTTAATCCTTCAGTTTACAATCTCCATCTTAAACGGCGTGGCTTTTATTAGGATCTTGAAAGGAGAGACTACAACTGTTTAACGTTAACTCTTTGAAGATTATATTCCAGAGAGGAATATATGTTCAAAGCGAGAAGAAAAACCACAGTTTGATCGTACCATATGTCCGCCTTTATGAGAAGGTTTTGAATTGATCTCAGGGTGCATGAATGCTAATGCTAAAGGGCTAACACATGGGGAAAGCAGGTTTACAAGGGTCATATCTCCATGGTACGTTCTGGGTGACCTCTGGGGCATTGTGACTTCAGAATTTAAAAGAATGTGGGGTGGTGTCCTATAGCGTGAAGGGATGGCTAGTGATGGACCCAGCAGCTGTGTCAAGCAGCCATCCCTTCTTTTAAGGTTGCTTGACAAGCTGCATTTGTCAATGCATATCAATGATTTAAATTCAAACAATAACATTTTTCAGCTGTAAAAAAGTGCAGACAGGAGGCCAGGATTTCAGTCAAACTGATATGGGATTTGTGAAATTCACAAGGATGGAGGAAGTATGAGGTGTAGTGTCTGTTCTGGGTCAGTTTTGAAACAGAACAGATTCACAAAGCCTTAAAGCAGTGAATATTGTGCTAAAAGCTGTGTCAAGACCCACAAAGCAAACAAAAGTAGAGACAAATGATTCCATTAATGTGCATGCAGTACTTAATATGAAAGCACACGGAGCAAACACATGCCTCCTGACTCTAACAAACCTGGACAGCACCGACACGCTCTCATAAAGCAGCCAAAGGACACAAATGCTTTATTTGCCTGCCCACAATGATTCGCCCTACTAGTTAATGGTTTGATTTAGCGGACCTAAACTGAGCCACAGAAAGGTGGTGAGCTGTGAGGAGAGGAATGCATGTAATGAAATCTGGAATTACCATCTTTGAATACATCAAGTGGCTTATGCACAAAACACTAAAATACATGCACATATAAACTCTGCAACAATATAATGCAGGCCTATTAGCTCATATAAAAAGCTTGCTGAGGTCCAGACTGAACGACATGGCCTTTCTCAGGTGGACTTATTTCTTGCCAGCTTGGCATCAAGCAGCATTTTATAGAAGTCTCTTATCTCAGTGCTAATCCAGCTTTTAAACAACACTGTGCCTTACACAGGCATGACTTTGATTCATGCCGATTTGGTTCATCTTAAATCAACAGGTTGGTGTGCATGTTTTAGGCGGGCATGCATACAGTTCAAATATAACAAACATTGTGAGATAGCTCTCTCTGTCTCTTTCTGTCTGTCAGCCTTTTTAAATCATGAACAGTTTCGTGGGAATGCCAAAGTGTCTATTTATTTTCATGTTATTTGTTTAAGAATAAAATATATCCATAACAACATAAAACTTTCTAGGGTGGTGTCTGGGAGTCTGGTAATATTTACCTTGAGCTGAAGTGATATATCGTTTTCATGCCAAACTTCATCAGATGAAGCACGCTGAAGGAGCAACAAACAGCTTGCAGCAAGTCTACAAAGTGTCATTTCCCATTAGACAATACAACACCTGATACAAATTAGCATGACCCTGCTAATCAGTAGGCCTACAGACCATGTAAAACTGAATTCTGAATAACATACTATAGCATAGGCGACCACTCATATTGCAGAAATAGTAACATTATGCAACATTCCAAACAGCAACATGCTTCATTATTGTCACATAATCTCATCATGTTAGTTTATTATTTTGCACCATTTAAAAGTTTGGAGTCAGTAATATTTTCGAAAGTTTTTGAAAGAAATCTCTTATACTTACCAAATGCTGCATTTATTTGATCAAAAATACAGCAAAAACTGTAATATTGTGAAATATTATTCTTTTTAAATATGTTTACAATGCAATTTATTTTAGTGATAGCAAAGCTGAATTTTCAGTCTTTACTCTGGTCTTTCAGAATTACTCCAGTCTTTCAGAATTACTCCAGTCTTCAGTATCACATGATCCTTCATAAATCATTCTAAAATGCTGATTGAGTGGTCAATAGACAGTTGTGTGTGGAAACCTTAAGTTCAGGATTTTTTATGTATAGAAAATTCAAAAGAACAGCATTTATATATATATTTATAATTTGTTCATTCATCTCATCTGAAATGGAAGGTCATGTTTTGCATTGCATTGTAAAGACACAATCCATTGTAACGTTGTTATATACTGCACATATAAGCAAATTGTACAAGGTCTCCAGTGTATTTAATGTATAGTGTTCACAGTACACTACTGCAGAAACAGTACTGTAGTATGTTATTATGATCCCCTAAAATTACGGTCTAGTGTCACCTTTCAGTTAGAAGCTGATTTACAACACATCACATTCTGTTCACATGATCTGGAACATCTGCAAGTTAAACAAACCAATAAAAGTATTTGTGTCACCGATTTTGTAACAGGTAACAAAGTGTTGTATAACACTTCAGCTCATTGTAATTCCCCAGTCCTCCCAAACAGCTCCGCTTCATCTTATTGACAAAAAGAAACAGAGGTGAACTTGAAAAGCCAGATTTGGAGGACAGATGGCTTGGGGCGAGAGCGGTAGAAGCAATCTCCAACCTCAAAAACTACTCAACCTGCTGACACACCTTGTCATTACCGACGAGGATAAACAGCTAATTGTCGGTTTGAAGGAGTAAGAAGAAGCTACCTGGAGCACATACCGTTCTTGTTTTGTTTTTCGGCATGTGATTCACAATAAAATGTTCACAGTAGCTGAGCCTGTGGTGAACATTACCTCGAAACTGATTATACAACTAAATAGCTTTGCTCTACAGTGGTACCAGAGCGCTAATATAGTCCGCTATCATTCCTCAACCATCACGCAAAAATTTGCCTTCAAGGACCCAAACTCAGGCAGTTCAAATGACTGCATATTGTTAGAAAGCTTGAATCCTTGTTTACATTTTAATGTGTGCTAATTCACCTTGCGTGCATTGAGAACAAAATGTAAAACATGTAAGTGGTGAGGCATGCCTTTGTAGATGGGACTAGCCTTGCCTTTTCATGCCTCAAGAAAAGAAATCCCCCAAAATATGCTGACTACAAAGCAAGCTTGTAATTGAGGGTTGATCCAAAAATGATAGACTGAGATTTAGGCAACAGAGTAAACAAGAACACAGACAAAAGGCATCAAGACATAAACAACTGGCGTGTGACACACAAAGAATGAATACACTATGGCAAATAATATTATAATTGAGTCAATTTAATTCAGGTCAAATAAGAATGCGCAGTCAGGTGAGTGGTGCCATCAAATTATTTTAACCAGTTTAATTCATTTTCAGTGAAAGATCAAAAGAGAAATCATGTGAATGTGTCTATGTGTCCTTTGTTCTCAGTGTGACATGCGCTGTGACCCGTGAAGACATGAGGAAACGCTAAATCAGATTTACATTTTGGAGCCAGTGTTTTTCTTCAAAAGACATCATAACCAACAATATGTGTGATGTCAAAACATCACCATAAAAGAAAAAAGATTATTATATAGGGCTGTTAATCTGTAAAAAATTTTTTTAAAGTAATGATATGGAGATTGGAAAAGCTTATGAATTGAATACAGCATAGCATAGCATAGCATAGCACAACACAACACAACACAGCACAACACAGCATAACACAACATAACATAGCATAGCATAGCATAGCATAACACAACACAACACAAAAGTGCCTTTAGAATCACTGACATACAAACCATAAAACCATGCCATGAAACTGCCATTAAAATGAAAATGAAAGTGAATAGAATAGAATAGAATAGAATAAAATAAAAGATTAATCAGTAGGTTCTTGTTTTGTTTTTCGGCATGTGATTCACAATAAAATGTTCACAGTAGCTGAGCCTGTGGTGAACATTACCTCGAAACTGATTATACAACTAAATAGCTTTGCTCTACAGTGGTACCAGAGCGCTAATATAGTCCGCTATCATTCCTCAACCATCACGCAAAAATTTGCCTTCAAGGACCCAAACTCAGGCAGTTCAAATGACTGCATATTGTTAGAAAGCTTGAATCCTTGTTTACATTTTAATGTGTGCTAATTCACCTTGCGTGCATTGAGAACAAAATGTAAAACATGTAAGTGGTGAGGCATGCCTTTGTAGATGGGACTAGCCTTGCCTTTTCATGCCTCAAGAAAAGAAATCCCCCAAAATATGCTGACTACAAAGCAAGCTTGTAATTGAGGGTTGATCCAAAAATGATAGACTGAGATTTAGGCAACAGAGTAAACAAGAACACAGACAAAAGGCATCAAGACATAAACAACTGGCGTGTGACACACAAAGAATGAATACACTATGGCAAATAATATTATAATTGAGTCAATTTAATTCAGGTCAAATAAGAATGCGCAGTCAGGTGAGTGGTGCCATCAAATTATTTTAACCAGTTTAATTCATTTTCAGTGAAAGATCAAAAGAGAAATCATGTGAATGTGTCTATGTGAGGCCTTTGTTCTCAGTGTGACATGCGCTGTGACCCGTGAAGACAGGAGGAAACGCTAAATCAGATTTACATTTTGGAGCCAGTGTTTTTCTTCAAAAGACATCATAACCAACAATATGTGTGATGTCAAAACATCACCATAAAAGAAAAAAGATTATTATATAGGGCTGTTAATCTGTAAAAAAAATTTTTAAAGTAATGATATGGAGATTGGAAAAGCTTATGAATTGAATACAGCATAGCATAGCATAGCATAGCACAACACAACACAACACAGCACAACACAGCATAACACAACATAACATAGCATAGCATAGCATAGCATAACACAACACAACACAAAAGTGCCTTTAGAATCACTGACATACAAACCATAAAACCATGCCATGAAACTGCCATTAAAATGAAAATGAAAGTGAATAGAATAGAATAGAATAGAATAAAATAAAAGATTAATCAGTAGTTTTAGCAGTCAATATTATTCATTTTAAAAAGTGAATCAGTGACATACAGTCTGTAAAACCAGGCACGCAACTGCCATTGAAATGAATTGAAATAAATAAATACATTTAAAAAAAAAAAAGTGGCTTTAGAAGTCAAAATAAAATAAAAAAATATATAGATTAATTAGTGGCTTCAGAAAAATTATTCATTTTTGGATGAATCACTGGTATAGAATCCATAAAACCAACCACGCAGCTGTCATTGAAATAAAAAATAAAATAAAATATTTTAAATATTTAAAAATATATTTTCAGAGAAAAACTGGAGTGTTTTTAGACCATCAAAATCATGTATTGACGGAGAGGAGCTAAAATGGAAAGTTGCTGAGGTCAGTACATGGTGTGTTGTTTGAATATCCAATAGAGGGAGTCCCTTTAGCAAAAAAAAAGAAAAATAAAATCACACTCACAGATGGTATGATCATTTAGGGGAGAAGGGGAAACAAAGACAGATGATGTGTATGTGTGTGTAGTCTACACTGCTTCTGCTCTCAGCTGGACAGAAACACATTTTTCTGACTAGACATCTACAAAGACTTTTTGAGTGAGTCTTGTCTGTTGTCTCAGTTCTAGACCATTCTGTAGACAGTACATAAAAACAGACAAATAGCCCAGTGGTTAAAGTTTGATTTTAGATAGGGACAAGACAAACTCCAGAATGAAGCACTTAACCCAGCATTGCTCCAGGGGGCTGTGTCTGCATTTACTGACTTGTAAGTCACTTTTTGCTAAATGACAAGCAACCAAGATGAAAAGATTTGGGCAACCTTGTCTGTCCTGTAGCCATTTGTCATTCTACAAATTAGCCTGCCATGTAATTTACTCCCATTTGTGGCACAAAAGATGCTGTAAACTCCAGCACAAAGTTTGAATCTGCAACTACTTTTATGAAAGGTTTTTCATAATAAAATACAGTGATAGAATAAAACAGTAACAAAACTATGTCATGTAAATATTTCTTAAGTACAATATGGTGTATCACAACTAAAGTGTGTGTGTGTGTGTGTGGAGCGTGCAGTTTTTGAGCTGAGCTTGGCTTTCATGGCTGCGCTTCATACACACACATCTGTTTCTCATTGAGTCGGAATTCCTGAGTGGATCTGAGGTGATTTGTGCCTGGGAGCCTCTAAAGACAAGAAGCGGACCATCTCAGAACCAGAATCTGCTTCCTCTGCTTTTCCTCCTACTTTGGGTCACAATATTTTTTTCTGCAAGCACATCTTCTAAAGCTATTCTCTGACAGCAGACCTTTGTTCCAGCACAAAAGCTGCTCGGTTGTGTAATCAGGTGTGCTATTTTTCTTGTATGACAAGGTTGAATGTCAACATGCAGCAACACAACTGCAACAAGCAGAAGAAAGAATGAATATGAGGAGCTGACGGAGCTGTACACCCCGTTGGGTGAAAGTCTTCTGTTTTTGACTACAAGCTTCTGTAAAAATTAAGTGTCATTTTCTACTATGTGATGCTCAGGGATCAAAGGTCAGTGGGACAATCACCAGAATGTGATCAGGTGACTTTATTCGCAAAGAGGCCTTCTTTTGATCACAAAGCAGCAAGACTGTCTACAAACAAAAAAAAGACTAATGGCTCAAATATAAAAGCTGCGGAGCCCCCTTGTGGCAATGAACAGAAATGACACTGAATAGGCCTGCGTAGTAGTGTAATGTAATGTAATAAAATAAAATAAAATAAATGGAGATTAATTAGTGCCTTTAGAAGTCAATATATTGTTCATTTTAAAATCTGAATCACTGGTATGGAATCCATAAAACCAGCCACACAACTGCCAATAAACTAAACTAAAATAAAACAAATCTATATCAAATAAATATATTGTTCATTATGAAATGTGAATCACTGGTGAACACTGTAATCGGCCAAAATCACAGTGAGAATCATATTAAAATAGGATTCAAACAATATCCTTGTCAATTCTGTTGTTTTCTCAATGAGGAAGAATGATAATTGTTTTATGGCTTATTATTGAATATCCTGCTGGAAGACAACAGACAAATAAAACAATCAGGATCTTGCTGTAAATGTTTACTTTACAATAACTTAATTTCCTTAAACAAACATAATGAGCATTAAGCAAAATATTTTTGAACAGTATAACAGTAAACCTTATAGCACCGAATACTTTAAGCTTGTGTGAAAACATGTGGAATTATGTGGAATAACCAAACAAAAAGCCCAAAATCCAGCCAACACTGGCATGTCCAAACATTTTAGGCTATCTAGTACAGAACATCCATGAATTCCACAATCTGCTTTAAACAATTAAGACTGGTGAAGATAAAACAACAATCCTTTAAAGGCTTTTTTTTAAGATGAGAGTCGGATAAGAAGAAAAAGAGCAGCATTCTTTCAATAGCAGCTGTCGTGTCTCTGTAAGCTTAATATCAGAAGAGCGTTAGCGCTCTAATAACAGCATTCCTGCCCTCCCTGCTGCTCAGCTTCAGGTCAGACCCAGCGCTCATGGGCTCGGGATACTCAGGAACTCATTTCTCCAGCTCAGTGAGAACACAAGTACTTGGACTTCATTCTATTTTTGGTCTGGCTGCTATTTATAGAACATTCTGTACTTTATAAGAGGAGGAACACGGGATGTGAAGGGATCAGATGGATAAAGAGAACTTGGAGAACTGTGGGTCAAACTCACAAAACTAATCCTGACACCCTTTAAATGAATTAAGGGAAGGAGCAGTCGAACGAGCATCTTAGAAATAAATGAAACAAATCACTGGAACAAATCATGTGAACTCTGGCTTAAAATAAAACCGTTTTCTAATGATAAATTGAAGCTGTATAGGGTTAAAACCTTTCTTTTTTCTTTATATATATATATATATGCACTACTGTTCAAAAGTTTGGGGTCTGTAACATTTTTTATGTTTTTGGACAAAGTTTCTTATGCTGCATTTATTTGAAAATATAGTAAAAAAGAGTAATATTGTGACATATTTTTACAAGTTTAAGATTTTCTGTCATTATCATTATTTTATGAAAATATTACTTTAGTTTACATGGGAAAATATTTAGTTTTTGGCAGTGTCCAAACTGAGGAAAGAAAAAGCCCAACACTTCACGATCTAATCAAATCCTAATGTATCAAATCAAGTCCCACCCGATTTATTTTCCTGCGGAATATTCCGATTAACTCAAATATGTTACATTACATCAGTTAAATAATTTGTAAAGGCTGTTTCATGTCTTAAATATCTTTTCCTCACTTCAGACAAAATCTTAGCTGTAAGAACAGCAGTTGAGAATGGGAAACAAACATACAGACTATATTAAATCCTTCAGCTGAATTGTGATATATTACAACCGGTGTACTAATACAACGGTACTACAATAAAACACTGCTGGAAACTGGCTTCTGTCAGTGTCACCGTGGCGTCACTATAGCTGAACACAGACAATGAATGTGGCAAAACGGTAGTATAACTCAAGCTGCTCATGTCATAATATGAATGCCAGTGTTTCCCCCAGGCCTGCGCAATAACCTTTAGTTCAAGGCGCTGTGATCTCCTATAATGAATCTCTAATAAGAGCATGAGGATGTTAACATGCTCCTATCCAGCAATGCAGTGCGTTGTGCATAGTGTCTGTCGTCTGAGAGACTAATGTGCTGATGTATCCCTGGACTTCATTTAGCGGTCAGAGGAGTTCCTGAATGTAGATAGCTGCCAGATTAAGTTTCCTCTTGTTTGTGTCTCTATCTCCCGCTCTTTCTCTCCGGCAATATTTAGCAAACATATAATGGTTTTCATCAGTCCTAAATTCACCTCAGACACATTAAGACAACATATTTTACAGCAAAGGACAGACTGTTCTGCTGAGAAGTGCTATTAAGAAGAGCTTCCTATTTATGTAATCCGTTGTGCTTCTGTTACTTAAAAAAGGACAGTCCACCCAAAAATGAAAATTCTATCATTTACTCCCTATGAAGATATTTTGAAAAATATCTCAGTGCTTTTTTGTCCATACAGTGGTTATTCTGGACCCCACTGACATTCATTGTACAGACAAAAACATCTTCAAAAATATCTTCTTTTGTGTTCCACAGAAAAAAATAGTCATTCAGGTTTGGAACGACATGAAACTGAGTTAATAATGACAGAATTTTCATTTACAAGCACACTATTCTTTTAAAAGGTGAAGTGTGTCAATAGTGGTACCATACAAAATTGCTAGAATAATAATTTGGATACATTTTTAACATTAAAAAAAAATACATAGTTCACCTATAAATCTCTAAAGTGCCAATATAACTGATATTTGTTGGAGAGATTTCAATGCTTCAAGTGTTTGTGCATCTGAGGTAAAAAGTCTTTCCACACTATCTGTGGACTTCTAAGGAAAGAATTCATTGGTGTAAGAGATAACTGATAATACGGTTAGGAATATCCAGGTCGGTCACCAAGTCCACAGCTCTGGTGCCCAACGTCGTCCTCAGGGCGATACGCCTCAGCTGCTGCAGAGAAAGGGGGTTACCTGCAAAAACACAAAATAGAATGCAGCAGCATTAAACATTTAAATCAATAACATCTCAATGCAACACAATTCAGATTTAGATTTAGCTACAGAAGAAGAAACAACATGAGAATGAGTCTATGATGACAATTGTGGCAACTATTTTGTATGGCCAACCTTTCACTACATAGTAACATTTCTGATTCATTTTGACACTGCCTTCCATAGAAACCAGATAAAAACACATAAGTGAACATACTTAAACATTAAACAGCTTGATAAATGTAAAATATGAGCGCTCAAGATCACGACCTCCTGTCATATCATTTAATACACAAAATCAGAATGTTTGCATTCTCGTAATTTTTTTAGTCTCTACATGCCAATACCAGGAAAATATTTATATGCTCCAAGGCCACGGTTTCTCATGAATCTGGTTTATATTCTGAAGACGGGCACTGGTGTGTTGTGCTTGGACTTGACTGGGTTGCGAATGTACCTTTGGAATGAGACTAATGATGGATTCCAGACCTACACCAGAATCCAACTTTTAATCTCATCATCATAAACTTCATTTAATTGTTTACAGCATCCCACCCAAAACATCCTGAGCAGCACCTAGGCAGCAGACCTGGCTGTGAATCACTGCTGCAACCATTGTAAAAAAACAACCACAGCGGCAGCCTATCACTACAGCCAGAACACTTAACATTAACATAATATATTTTATTTTTTAGAACATTTTAAATCTCAGTGAGAGCACAGAGAACATACTAAACTTGTGAACTGTGAACAGATTCTTCATCATGCAAAACAATACACCATATAAACAAATGGTAGGTTTGCTACAACAGCTTTTACATTAAGCCATGAGCACCATCTGCTGGACACTTTCTATTTGCCTTTTTTTTTTTTATTTATGCTGAAAATATTATATGAACTTTTTTTTATTATTTTTTATTATTAGAAAACTGTTTTGCCTTTTTATTTTAAATTACTTAAAACACTTTTTTTTTATTAGTTTCCAAAATATTGCAGAATATTAAACATTTAATTTTCATTTTACATCAAAACTGAAATTTAGAAAATGTTTAAACTTTCAGTGTATTTCCAGATTTAAAATACATTTTTACATTTTGAATCCTGTACATTCAGACTGTCTAGTTTTTTAGACAGATTAGTCAACTGGCTTCCTGTCATACTTGCCACGGGCGTAAATGTTGGCCCCAAACTCCACCAGCAGCTCAATCATATCCACATTGTTGGACTTGGACTTGTTGGACTTGGCAGCATGATATAATGTCTAGTGGCGTCTACTTGCACACCTGCACACAATGATTCACGATTAAAGCTTTACTTTGGTGATTTCAGATCTAAACTACCTTCTTTAGAGGCACATTCTTCAATGTTCGCATGGCTGACAGAGTACTTTACAGTCTCATGGCATCTGGTTTTACCTGCATTTAGTAGCACTTTAACACACTCCAGGTGTCGGCTGGCACATGCCACATGTAGAGGAGTACCGTAGTACAGGTCATAGGCCTCCAAACTGGCTCCTTTAGCAATCACTAACCTCACACAATCTGCATTACCTGCATAACACAGATTACTCTCACATTATATGAAGGATAGACAACTATTTCACTCAAAACCTTTAGTTCATGAAAATAATTATTTCTCTATGAATGTATAAAATTATCTTACAGATTCTGTAAAACTACAGAAATGAGAAAAAGTCAATAAAACAATCAAAATTATTTTTGGACTTTTGATAGTAATACTTTTTTCATTAAAATAAAATGTAAAAAGCAAACAGAACAAAATAATCTTCAAAATAAATCATACTCTATGAATCACATAAATAATCAAAGTAATACTCTGTGCATTTATAAGAATTACAGATTCTGTAATACTACAAAAACAGTGTAATATACATAAATATACATAAAAATGTAAAACAAAACAAAAAACTATATAAATTATTTTGGAACACTGTATAATAATTATATTTATAAAATAAAATGGAAAAAAAAAATGACCACCAACATAACCAACTCATCAAAACAATTCATAATCTATGAATTTGTAAAATGACCTTACAGATTCTGCAATACTACAGACACTATATTTATGTAAAAAACACAATCTAAAATGATTTTTGAAAATAGTTTAATAATTACATTTAAAATTAAATTAATTTTAAAAATAAAATAGCCATCAAAATCATCAAAACAATTCATATTCTATGAATTTATAAAAAATTACCTCAGATTCTGCAATACTACAAAAAAAAAACAAGTCAATGAGACCTAACTACATTTTTGACACATTTTTTAAAAATAAAATGTAAATAATAAAATAAAAATTTAATTTAATTTAAAAATAAATAAATAAAATACACTTCTACAATTTACACCAAACCAGCACACCTCCCATGCAGGCTTCATGCAGAGGGGAGGTGGTACGTGAGGAAAGCATGGGGTTGACTTTCGCTCCATACTCCAAAAGAAGCCTCACACACTCAACGTTCCCGACAGAGCACGCTTCACATAGTGGAGTGCTGCCGTACACATTTCTTGCACCAAACTGCAACACAACCCCAGAAAAACCCATTTCAAAGCCAAAGTCAGTACTTAGAATAGACTTGTGTTGTCTGAGGCCTTTTTAAGAACTGTGTGTGTGTGACTGGGCACCTGAGCCCCTGCGTCCAGCAGAAGTCTCACACACTGCGTCTGTCCGCGTGCAGCTGCCTCTTGGAGGGGAGTGATATCAAACTCTGCAGCACTGACACCGGACCCTGATACGCATGATGCCTTATGAACCTCTGTCCTCTCTGCCCAGAAACCTTATACACCCACAAACACATATCAAGTAAAACCATAACCACAAGTCACAACAGATCATTTCTACTGTATTATTAATGGATGATATATTGTCATGGTACTAATTTTAGTTTATGTGGTAAAAATGAATTAAGCATAATATATTGGTCAAACAAACCTTCGAGTTAAAAAAAAAAAGACAGGTAAAGTTGTGTCATTTGTCATGGTACTAATTTTAGTTTATGTGGTAAAAATGAATTAAGCATAATATTGGTCAAACAAACCTTCGAGTTAAAAAAAAAAAAACAGGTAAAGTTGTGTCGTCTCACAAATCATGTAATACAATCAAATAATGTACGTGAGCTATTGTTGCGTTAATGTTTGATATTTGCATAGCTTAGGCCTATATAACTTATTATGGTTGGCTATACGAAATATTTATAAGGTTATATTAAACATGTTCAATGGTTGTTGACTACAGTTGCATGACATTAAAAAGAGCACTATGGTGTGAAAATGACAATAATGTAAACATGGCACGCCGATGCTGTGCGGACATTGAGGCAAACACACTTTCCACGTGGACTTACCGATGTCACCGAAAAAATAAGTTCGTGCTGTTTCTACTTCCATCTCTGCTTTAGTAAAGTGGTATACAGTAAAATTTAAACAATACACTGTCTCTAGCTAACTAAAGCAGAAATTGTGCTGCGTTTAGAAGTGCGGTAATACATCACGTGGTCTGTTGTTTTGCCACTAGTTGTAGTTATGACGTGCTGTGAGATGTAGTTTACTTAAAATAAAATAAAATAAAATAAAGGACTGGATACATTTGGACACATATGTAGAAATGTGAGTGCATTTTTAAACTTTTAAGACCTGGGACATGGCACACCAGATAACACATTACAATAACTTTAAGAACATGAGCAATACATAATGGTTAATAGACAGACATTTTTATAAGTTAATTAGGTAAACATATCATGAAAAGTTAAGTGCTATATGTTTAATATATCTCGACGGACCCCCTAAAGTGCCTTCAGGACCTCCTGGTTGAAAACCAATGGCATTTATATTAATAAAGTATATCACAAACACTTTTTGAGCAAAAAACAAAAAAAGATAAGTTTAACTTATAAAACAATACCTTTAAGATAAAAGGTATTTGGACACCTTCTGGTCATCAAACATTAACATGTTCACAGCTGGTTAAAAAAAAAAAAAGCCTGATTTAAAAGTTAAATTGATCTTGAGTTGTACAGGGGCAACAGTAACATAAACAGTTCTATTATTTGTACATTTACACTGCAAAATCTTTCAAGGCAATGTAGCACATTCAAAAATGAATTAAGCATAAAATTGGTCAAACAAACCTTCGAGTTAAAAAAAAAAAAACAGGTAAAGTTGTGTCGTCTCACAAATCATGTAATACAATCAAATAATGTACGTGAGCTATTGTTGCGTTAATGTTTGATATTTGCATAGCTTATATAACGTATGGTTGGCTATATGAAATATTTATAAGGTTATATTAAACATGTTCAGTGGTTGTTGACTACAGTTGCATGACATTAAAAAGAGCACTATGGTGTGAAAATGACAATAATGTAAATATGGCACGCCGATGCTGTGCGGACATTGAGGCAAACACACTTTCCTCGTGGACTTACCGATGTCACCGAAAAAATAAGGTCGTGCTGTTTCTACTTCCATCTCTGCTTTAGTAAAGTGGTATACAGTCAAATTTAAACAATACACTGTCTCTAGCTAACTAAAGCAGAAATTCTGCTGCGTTTAGAAGTGCGGTAATACATCACGTGGTCTGTTCTGTTTTGCCACTAGTTGTAGTTATGACGTGCTGTGACATGTAGTTTACTTAAAATAAAATAAAATAAAGGACTGGATACATTTGGACACATATGTAGAAATGTGAGTGCATTTTTAAACTTTTAAGACCTGGGACATGGCACACCAGATAACACATTACAATAACTTTAAGAACATGAGCAATACATAATGGTTAATAGACAGACATTTTTATAAGTTAATTAGGTAAACATATCATGAAAAGTTAAGTGCTATATGTTTAATATATCTCGACGGACCCCCTAAAGTGCCTTCAGGACCTCCTGGTTGAAAACCAATGGCATTTATATTAATAAAGTATATCACAAACACTTTTTGAGCAAAAAACAAAAAAAGATAAGTTTAACTTATAAAACAATACCTTTAAGATAAAAGGTATTTGGACACCTTCTGGTCATCAAACATTAACATGTTCACAGCTGGTTAAAAAAAAAAAAA